CGATTAGCATAAAATCATACCATTCTTATCAAATTAATGAGCATTTGTTAACAATGGTTGCATAATCCCCACGCGTATAAAAATAGTTGGTAAAATCAACCAAGTCAAAGCAAAATGAACCGCAAACAAAAAGAGGCCGAAAGATCAAGAAAAAATTATTACAAAAAGAAAGAACAACTACAAAAATATATAGACTTCTATTCATACATGATGAGGGAGAACATCGATCTCGTACTTAAATTTGAGGGAATCAAAGTTGGTACTCCTGAACAGAGGTTTTGGGACGCCATCGAGAACTTCGATATATCATAAAAAATGAAATAGACGGATCATAACGTATAATAGTGTAGTAATACAAGTATAATAATATAGACGGTTCATAACATTTAGCGTAGTAAAATTAAATGAAAAATGTCAATTCAGTTACATTGTCCTCACTTAATGATCATTAATCCAGTAAGAGAGATAATTTAAAATGGGCTGGTATTCAGAATAGCCTGAACTTCGCCTCAAACCCATCAGAAAGTTAAGAGTTGCCTCATGGTCTCTCTTGAGGTTTTCAAAATGTTTTGCTGCGTACTCGTTATAATCCAATTTCATCACACGGATAGCCTCAATAAATTCTCTCCAAAGTATTCCTTGCCGAAACACCTGATCAACGGCCTCCAAACCATGCATCTCCCATCTTTCTTCTTCCGACAACATTATACATTCGTGTCTCCTCTGACTAGGACTATCGAACTCGCAACCTCTACACCTCTCTTTGCAAATTTTTCCAACCTCGCTGGAAACAGCCTCTGCAAATATCGCGTCCATCAAATGACATAAGTTCCTAACTTCCGACGGTTCAAATTCACCCATAGTTAAACTGCCCGCGCTGAATATCTGCTCTTTTCCTTGGGAAGAATTCATGATAAGAAACGCTTCTCGAAATGAAATTGCACGAAAAACCATATCCTTTATTTATACCGTTGAAGAATATTTATATCTTTTAAGTCCAACCCTACGTGTTTACGCCACTCTCTCGGTAAAGTCCAACCCTACGTACTTACGCTATCTTCTGGGTAAAGTCCGACTCTACATAGTCCCACTCTGCGTATTTACGCACTATTACCCCTCGTGAACTTCCTGTATTGCATTCACGCGTACCCCTAGTTATGTTCTATAAAAGTCGGGTTAAAACTGTGCTAAATCGTTCGCTATGGCTCGCCAAAATGATATCGTCGCTGTCATGGACATGGACGGCTTTCGAGTTGGAAGTGAATTCCGCTGCAAGGAGCTTGGTATGATCAAAGTGGGAGATACCTACGGGCAATCCTTTTTCTTCGATATTGGGCTTCGTTGGTCGGACTTAACCGAAAAAGACCAGAAGGCGTGCAAGTTCGTGCAAAAGAAAATTCATAAACTGCCGTTTGGGGTACCGCGGGGTGTCAAGACATTCGATATCTCGCAATTAGAAGCAATCGTGGAGAACTTCTACAGAAGAATAAGAAAAAATCCAAACTCCGCGATTGCCTACAAAGGCGGGATAATTGAAAGGGATCTCTTAACAAAACTAAGAATCCCTTCAATTAATTTGGAATGCCTTGGTTGTCCCAAGGCAGATAAATTATTCGATCAGCTTGGTTGGTTGGAGACCTGCGGGAACCATTTGGATGCCTGGGCGTATCAGCACTGCGCAAAAGTTGAGGTTGAGGCCTTCGCGATGTGGTTGGAGAAGACGTAACGCAAGAAAATAAGAAAAACGGTTTGTAAACGAAATTTCGATTCTATTGAGAACCTTATTTTAATCATAAAAACAATATTTTCTTCATCACTGAACTAAATCGTTACTCTTCCTCATACGTATTTCTAGTGTATCGTTTGTTTTACCATATGGATACCTATCTTAGATGAAAGTCAAGCGGTTTATTCGAATGATTTGGCGTGCGTCTCAGTGATATTAAACCCCGTGTTAGTGCGAATGAAATGCACAAGTACACACGCATCGATTGAAAGAACCACGCTCCGTACCGATCATAGACAAGAATTGAAGCGAAGAGTGTCTTATTTGCTGTAAAAATGAAAGTAGCTGACTTAATCTTTTATTGTGGAGAAGATGCTGTGCACCCAATTATCTACATGCTCTTATCCAGCTTTGAAAACAAAATCTTATCCACGCTGGTTGAAGACGAAAACGAATGGAAGATTGTTTTTGATGAAAGACAAACATTTACAAATAAAGAGTTTGTTCGAAAGTTATGGTGTGCATGCGTAGATCACGGATACGTTGAACTCAAATATTGGATTTTTAAGCATTATGTCGATAAAGTAGACATTCATGTACTAGGTGACTAAATGATGAGAACAATCATCACAAAACATACAATGAATATTTAAGAAATGAATTCTTAAAATGAACATACAAATGTGTAATTCTCAGTAGTAAAATAAAATATACTCTTCGCAAATTCTTACTGTGTGATAAATAACCCGGCATTTGTGTAATTTGAGCAAACTGCTGTCAAACAAACGTATCCTGTGTATTTACGCTAATATGCGTATTTACGCTATTATGCGTATTTACGCTTTATTGTTTACCCCGCCCCTCGCGCACTATTCTACTCGCGCGTGGAGACCACGCACCTCTTCGGGAAAATCCGACAGTTTCCGACATCCCGCGTGGGGTCCACGCGTTGCGTGTTTTCCTCGCTGGATGGGGGGGGCTACCTACTTACGGTCAACATTTCGATCTTGTGTTTGTCCATATTTTAACACCTTCGTCCACCTTACTTACCCGATTGGATGGTTAGGTGTTAGCTCGTCGCTCGCCGAAGGGGTGGCCATGAACGAGTGCTGTTACTTGGAGCCGGGTTGAGATCCCTACGGTATCTAGCTGAGCACACATACCCTCCCCCCGCCGAGAGCTCTAAGGAAGGAAAAAAGATAGAAATTTACTAATAGCACTTTGCCATAAGCTGCTGTTGTCGACGTTATCGCTCTTTCGCCGACGGGTTGTTAATGCCCTCTGCAGGCTCTGCTCTGCACCTTGCTACCACTCGCCCCTCCCATTCGGTCACGTGGTTTGCCTGACGTCACTGAACCGGTTTTCCTCGTTGTTAACCTTGCTTATTACATAACCCCATTAAGACGTCGTAATTCCAGGGGGCACCGGGAGGAGTGAACACAAATATGATAATTAACATTAAAATTTGAGTAATGAATTAATGCCACAATTGCCAATTGCAAGCTTTTTATTCTGAAAATTTGCTAGCTTTTAACACTTCCAGAAGAAAACTTAGAAAAGGGTAAGTAAATATCACTTTATATCCTTCTGCCCCTATCCATCAAGCGGATGAACTGTTTAGCGTTCATTCTAGAGGAAAACAATGTGCTTATATGAGTTTATCAGCGCTTCTTACAGCCTGAAACATTTCATTGTCCGCATGGTCGTTTACAACGTTTAATGATGCCTTGATACAGGGAGACAAGATGTACTTAAGAGCTCTGAATAGTGGTCTATTAGTCCTAAACCCTTGTGTTGAATATTTGTCTATAGATAATTTACCAACAATTGTTAGTGTTAATATAAATTCATGTAAAAATGCATGCAGTACCATCACAAATAATAAAGACCTTTAGCTTGACGCTTACGGCAAACGCCAAACCGCTAACAAAGCGGTTTGTGTGTTAATTAACTCCACTATCTCTAAGTGTGCAGCAATTTCGCTAGATTACAAACGTTCTACATGGAACCTGTGATGTTCCGCAGTAATGTAAGAAAGCAAAAGACTATTTCTGATGTATTTATAAAAGCAGCAAATTCAGCTTTGCCGTATGTGTTTCACGTTCGCCGTATAAAATTTAATGCTTGAACGACTGCATACACCCTCAGCCGTTCAAGCATTAAAATTTATACGGTATTATATTACTCTAATATCAGTAAAAACCTATATGTATATACGATTTGTTGACAACCATGCATGTTGCCTCTTTCTTCAGAAACCTTATCATAATTTTATATGCCAAACAAGCCTAGTACATGAATTAACAGAATTATAAGTAAAATGAAGCTTAGAGCACGAATTGTATTACATGCCAAACAATGAATTGTAACATCGATCAAACTGGATTATCATAAATTATATACATGCCAACAGTAAAAAATATAGCCACTCATATAAGCCATTACGCAATCTGATTCGGTAGCTTCCCGCTGTATGTCAGCAAATTTAGCTAGGGTGACTGCATGGTGAAAACAGACAGCCTTGTTGACTACCAACTCATTTACACTGAAAACGGAAAAAAAACTCTTGTCGGTGTCGGTGATTTTTATCAAATACCGTTCAAGACTTAACCCACTATATTTTAAGAATAAAAGTTAAATAAAATGAGCTTTGATGGTACGCCAAAGAGGTTTTATAACTAAATCCAGATTCTATAAACAAGATTCTATATATAACTTTAATTTTTACTTTTGTGTCTTTCAATTTCCGGACAAGGCTATTGATCAATTGATCTTTGGTTAATAGGCGCGTTATAATGCGCGAGTCATTAGCCAAATTCAGAATTTTCATGTGAAAAATGTGAAATTTGTGTGAATTGTCATAGAATTTTTATGTACGTGAAAAATGATGTAAAAGAACTTACAAAGGGACGTCATTATCCATACACTAACTACAAAGATTTGAAGTCAGCCATTTCTAACATCTCATTCTGATATACCATACAAAAGCCTGCAAGTAGCTAAGTCTGGCTAGGTATTTAATATTTTTCCTTTTTACTATACGAAAACAACTTTGTCTTATAGGAATTATAGCGCATCGAACATGCTTCGTTTTAAACTACTCGTAATCTACGTCCTGATTTCATGGATCTCATTTGTTTCTCCCGAAAAAAAGGTCAGATAAGTCTCGAAGTTCATTTTTGTATTATTTGTCAATTCAGACAATTGTCATCTTGTCATTGTTCGTTTTAAGTTGCTTCACGCACTAAACAAAGTTATTTCTCTCGAATCGTCCAAGCGAAACCAAATAGAATTTGTTGATGTCAGTAAAACAAACCTCTTGACTTGATGTCACGTTTCTTAAAAAGACAATATAAACTCAATATACATCAACGTTGCAAGTGATTATGTATTACTTCCTTTTAGGGTCGTTTTTCCACAAAAGAACCGCTTTTAAATGATGGAGTAAGTAATAAGAGAATATAATTGTAATAATTCCATGATCTGGTCCACTCCGATCTAATTTGAAATCATCAAAATAATATAGTTTTGCTTTCTATTGTACCTTACTTTCCTCTTATAAAAGATTTTTGAATGTTCCATTTTTGTCTCAGATTATAGTGGTTCCTAATAATGGAAGTGTTAGTAAAATTCCAGCAGTCTCAGAAATATTAAAATTGCGAAAAGAAAGTCAAAAACTTTATATACGGTTGAATGAAAGATGGAAAGCGATTTCAAAAAAGGTATAAATGTAATATTTATGATTTATAACCTCGAGCACCTGCGAACCGCCGCGCGAGGGTACTAATTCCGCCCGGAGATTAGGAATTACATCCGGGTATTCTATGTCGTGGCCGTTGAATGGCATTGTTAATTATGCGCATGTGCAAATTTGAATGGAGAAAACACTTTACAATATAAATTAATCAAGATTATTTATTTTTGAGCAATACTAATACTTATGAGCGATGAAAGAGAGAAAGATATATAATCGATAAGCCTCCAAGTGTTTTAAACAATTAAGTGTCTTTGTTTATTCCGTATTTGCTGTCATTAAAAGACACAGTTTACAGTTATAGTATAATTGAGCTTGGTATGTCGTTTTGCAAAGACATAACCGATCAACTTGAAAAGTCGGCTGCAAAACGCCAATATATTCGCTTCATAAATATTCGAAGAATAAGTACTAATATTGTACCTCAAATTCAAATTGGCCAATCAAAAAACATTATTCGTGGTATCGATGATTTTTCGTGGTATTGCATCTCAGTCCCTTATTTCCGAGCAAGGCGTGTGACATTGAATTTATCACACATACACGACGTCTCGCGAGGAAAGTCAAAAACTTGACTACACGTACCCACTGAGAATAATGATATTTTCCTCGGGAGAAGCCCTCGGAAAAATATCCTCATTTCGGGAAATATTTCGCCGAATCCCGAATTCAGGTCAATAAAATAACGATAAATAACATCTGACATTTAGTCTGATAAATAAAATCTGACATTCAGTCCTTGAAGATTTTGCACTGTTTTGATGTTTTCAAGGTTGAACACTCATGCAACTTTATTATTCGAATAACCTGCATTCAAAAAATCACCTTAATTGATATGAACCAAATTCACGTTTGTCGTTTATAGCTTAACTCCGCCATTGCCAAACTTACTCGACGAGTCAATGCTGCCGTCGCTAAACTTACATCACGTTTGGATAAGTTGAATCAGACAATGGAAATAAGAGGTTCTAACGACTAAATTTTATAACGTGACCTTTAAAACAAATGCAACGATGCTATGATGCATCCTCCAACTAAAACTCAGCAGATCTTTTTTCTAATTTTGACAGCGAGGTCGAGTTGCGCTAGTTTGTATCGAACCGGAGCAAGAATTGACGGAGTCTACACAATAGATCCCGATGGTCAAGGTTCGTTTCAAGTCAGATGTGATATGCGCACAGACGGGGGTGGCTGGACCGTGTTTCAAAGAAGACAAGATGGGAGTCAAAATTTCTACCTTGGATGGTCAGACTATAAGGCAGGCTTTGGTGATCTTAACGGCGAGTTCTGGTTGGGCCTTGATAAAATACATCGTTTGTCCAAATCTGGTGAAAATGTTCTAAGAGTAGATTTGATGGATTTCAATGGCGCGGAAGGTTACGCTAAATATGGAACGTTTAGTGTGGCTGATGAGTCAGACAAATACAGATTGAATATTGGCAATTTTTCAGGTAAATCACACTCTTGGTAAAAATAATACAGGGAACAAAAATATCAAGTACTTGTTTATAATCAACTAAAGACTAAATATAGGAGCCGTAATAACACCAAATTTTTGCATTGAGCATATTTTTCCACGGTTTTTGTTTCAGTCATTTTCATGATCAAAATACGAGCAAGTTGTAGGTATGCATGCTGGAATAAATAACCGAGCGATTCATAAAATAAATTTCACTTATGGCATTCTTTTTCACAAGATCGTGTGCAAGGTTTTAACACCTTATGTCATTAACGATGAGGAGAAACGGTGGCAAACGTACTCCTATTCAAACTGGAAATTAGGCGGTTGCAAAAAAGGCAGCTTAGCATACTAGTAATACGATGTTCGCGGGTATTGCAGGATTTTGGAACTTTTATTCAAGTATTCTTAGGTTATGAAATTTATTTGATGAATTAACGAAGAAAACTCGTAAAAAGGAATGGTTTGAAATATTCTGCATTTCATATTACACGTCGGGCATGCAACAAAATGCTCAGGCCACTAAAAACAGAATTATTATGAATTTGAACATTTGAACCTTCCATCTTAGTCTTATTTGCCTAACATGCAGATTCGCTATTACGATTTTAGAACGAGGTCTAATAGCAAAGACGGATTACTTTCCAGAAGGGCCCCATTAGAATATCAATAGTGTTATTGAAAATTTAAAAAGATCACTTTCTGTTTCTAAATGTTATTCATTGAGAATTATTTATTATATTCTTAAAAGGTGATGCAGGTGATTCTCTTGCTTATCACAATCAAATGCAGTTCACTACCAAGGATAGTGACAATGATTTTTGGACTGGCGTTAATTGTGCTACGAGCCACAAAGGAGCTTGGTGGTACAAAGCCTGTCGCCAGTCAAACCTCAATGGCCAGTACCTGGGTGCAGGTCGGTCTAGTCGCACTGGAATAAACTGGATCCATTGGAAAAGTTCACATTCATTAAAAAAGGTGGAGATGAAAATTCGTCCAAGCCAGTTAACGATTATTTAATTAATGTTAAAGGCGGGTTAGGCCTGGTTTTCACTTCAACCGTATTGTAGCGAAACGTAGCGTATCTCATTGTTTAAGTCCATGGCGCTTATATATAAGCGCCCTGTTTAAGTCATTACGTTATTCTACGATACGGTTGAAGTGGAAAACAGGCTTTACAGTCGCTTCCCGCATCTGGGTTCGGCTCATGACAATGAGTAGTCTACTTGTTTCAAAATTGCTCAACTGTCATAACTCGATCTCTGTCGTATTCATTTAAAAGTATAGCGAACTAAAAGCGTGTCAAATATTCTGAACGTTCTTGATATTTTAGGAAATATATACGGATTGGAAATGTAAGCAAAGCGTTTGTTAACATTACGGCCGGACTTCGCCCTACCTTTAAGTGGTGGTAATTAATGAATAAACAAGACGCATATTCTGGCGGTAACTGCGTACGGGTCGCGTCAATCGTTGCATGCAATGGTGCTCCATTTCCTGTTTTTCCTCAATATTTATTCCATGCACAGTGGACTCGTGTTCGTGTTCTTTTATATGGGCGTGTATCGTACATGCAGTTTCCTGCTTTTGGTTCGCACGACCCGAGTTCGAATCCTGGCGACAACAAATTTTTTCAATTTTTTGTTTCAGTAAAAAAAAATTTAGGGTTACTAGGCTTAGGTACTATTTGATGTGTGTTTAGCACGAAAATAATTCGATACGAAATCAGGAGAGTTCAAAATACGAGTATCTTAGTTCACCAGGTCGAAAATGTAAAAAACACGAAAAAAACAAAAACAAAACCGACATGTACAGTAATTCTAGACTGCGTTCGCGATGCAATAATAATTGCGTGCAATAATAGTTTTGGCCATTTGGACATCAGCAGTCCAGCACCGTGCACTGCAATTCACAAAGGCTTGAAAAACATCTCATATTATTTGATCTATTTTCATCACTCCACTTCCCACATAGTGTCATCAGTCAACGTAAGAGATCGGGAGTGTACGTTTTCGAAACGTCATGCAAGGTTAATCTAAATTAAGATCTCTTACAAGTCAGGGCACAAAACACCGTTATTTCAGAAGCTTTATATCTGGTAAGTGGAATGTAATTGTCATATAAATACCCCGGCGTAACTGCGTTTGAAACTACACCATACATTACATTTACCAATGTCGTGATTTTCTTTATCAATCATAAAAATTCCGACGATAGGTTAGCTAATATGTGAAGGGAGTTCAAATCCGAGAGGGGGGTCATCACACACCACCTTCTATACAGAGACAGTACTTCACTTGCTTGAGTACTACAGTACCTTAGTTTTAACTGTTGAACCATTGGTAGCCCAACAGTTAGGCTTCCTACGTCACGACAGTATGACACGTATAGTATATACTGATTAATTTCCTTTCAATATTATCTCACTTGATCAATTGCAATAACCATACATTTGCATAATTGTATAATAGTGAGTAACCATTCCATGTCAGTGTTTTCCATGTCAGTGTTTTCCATGTCAGTGTTTTCCATGTCAGCGTTTTCCAATGTCAGCGTTTTTCATGTCAGCGTTTTCCATGTCAGCGTTTTCCATGTCAGCGTTTTCCATGTCAGCGTTTTCCATGTCAGCGTTTTCCATGTCAGCGTGTCAGTGTCTGTGTTTTCCAGCTAACCCCGACGACATTTGTTTCATCGATGGTCATCAAAATGTTAGGGAAAGCATTTTACCAAATATGGAAATAGGAATGTGCTTCCATAATGGTATGATACAAAACTATAGATTCTCATTCCGGAGATTTATATTCCGGGTTTTAAAGATTCCGGATATTCTCATTCCAGGTTTTAAGGTTCCGGAGATTCTCATTCCCTGTTCCTGGTTCCCCATGTTCCTTGATTCTCGGGTTTTAAAGATAGCCATTAATTTAATGAAACATTATATTGAGGTCATGGATCGGAGGTGAAATTTTTCAGAATGTCATACAGATTTGTTGAATTCTATTTCAGATGTTTTATCACCAAGTGGTAAGGTCGGACACAGTTTAGATAACCGCGTCAGTTTCAGAAGCTCTTTGAGGGGATTTATCGTGGTTGAATGTGATATGAGGTAAGACTGGAGTTTCTCGTCCAGTCTGTTTAGACGGAAAAGTGAGACGGGTAAATTCGGACGAGAAACGCGTCTGTGACCGGATTCACATTAGACGAGTTTTCCGTCTAAGACCAGCCTCGTACCCAGGTGCTTTTATAGTAAAAAATAATGTTGCATTCAGTTATTTTATAGAGGTCAGCTAAAAAATTCGAGCGTGTGGGGGTGCTTGGGGAGATCCAAGCACCTTTGCACGCTTCCCTTTTTTTCAGCTGAACTCTATACAATACCTGGATGCAACGTTATATATTTTTCTATTAAAGCGCCTGTTTATTAGTGAAATTTACTAATAGCACTTTACCACAAGCTGCTGTTGTCGACGTTATTGCTCCGCCGTTCGCCGACGGGTTTTAATGCCCTCTGTAGGCTCTGCTCCACACCTTGCCTCCACAATTTGCCTCCACTCGCCCCTCCCATTCGGTCACGTGGTTTGCCTGATGTCACTGAACCGGTTTTCCTCCTTGTTAACCTTGGTTATTGCATAACCCCATTAATTTCGGGGGCACCGTGGGAGTGAACACAAATTTAAATATTAAAATTTGAATTGATGCGACAATTGCCGATTGCAAGCTTTTTATTCTGAAAATTTGCAAGCTTTTGTACACTTCCAGAAGAAAAGAGTAAGTAAATATCTTTCTCCCACTATCCATCAATGGGATGAACTGTTTAGCGTTCATTCTAGAGGCAAACAATGTGCTTTTATGAGTTAATCAGAGCTTCTTACAGCCCGAAACATTTCATTCTCCGCATGGTCGTTTACAACGTTTAATGATGCCTTGATACAGGGAGACCAGATGTATTTAAGAGCTCTGAATAGTGGTCTATTAGTCCTAAACCCTGGTGTTGAATATTTGTCTATAGATAACTTACCAACAATTGTTAGTGTTAATATAAATTAATGTAAAAATGCATGCAGTACGATCACAAGTAATAAAGACCTTTAGCTTGACGCTTACGGCAAACGCCAAACCGCTAACAAAGCAGTTTGTGTTTTAACTCCACCATCTCTAAGTTTCGCTAAATTACAAACGTTCTACATAAAACTTGTGATGTTCAGCAGTAATGTAAGAAAGCAAAAGACTATTTCTGATGTATTTATAAAAGCAGCAAATTCAACTTTGCCGTATGTGTTTCACGTTCGCCGTATAAAATTTAATGCTTGAACGACTGCATACGTATACACCATCAGCCGTTCAAGCATTAAAATTTATACGGTATCATATCACTCTAATATCAGTAAAAACCTACCCGTGGAGCTAGCTAAATATATAAATCTACCCGTGGAGGTAGTTCAAAGTACAAATCTACCTGTGGAGGTAGCTCAAAACATAAACTACCCGTGGAGGTAGTTGAAAATACAAATCTACCCGTGGGGTAGTTCAAAACATAAATCTACCCGTGGAGGTAGTGAGGTAGTTGAAAATAGAAATCTGCCCGGGGAGGTTCTCTAACTGTCCTCCCAATCGGTAGAATTTTTGTCCGACCGTAAGCACATTTGTCTAATGGATCCAATCGATCGATCGGACCGTCTAACATTTCCACTTTCAATGAGGCATAGCCTCCTTCCCAGGCTGTTTATTTTCCAACCGTGTAGTTTTCAAATGACGTCATTTTGCCATCGGCAAAATTTTTGTCCGACCGTAAGCACATTCGTTCGATGGATCTGATCGATCGAGCGGACTGTCTGACATTTCCACTGGTTTCAGTAGCTCAGCTTCCACTGAGGCATAGCCTCTCTACCAAGACTCTTTATTTTTCAAACGTTTCCTTTTCAAATGACGTCATTTTGCCATCGGTAAAATTTTTGTCTGAGCGCGTAAGCACATTTGTCCGGTGGATCCAATTGATCGATCGGACCGTCTGACATTGCCTTGTATACCTGTTTGTCTTTTAAAAATGGACACTTTGAAAAAAATTGCTTTAAATTATAATGGTCCAGCATTTCATGCTGGACTGTTGTAATAGTCTGGAAGTCATAAATGACGCCATGCTGTAGTTGTTTACGTGTATATGTCCATCGGACAAACTTTTTTCCAACGGTAAGCAAGTTTGTCCATCGGATCGATTGGTATCAGACTTCAAAATGTAATGGAGTCTATATAAAGAAAACATTTGTATAAAACCGAGACTGAAACAAAAATAAGTGATTTTACTTAAGTTGTTATTGACAATGCGGAGTTTCGTCCTTTTACATGTCGTTATGCAGTTACTTCTGCAAATGTTGATATTTTTGTACTTTTGCTCTCAATTGAGCCATGTGTTCACTTGTGGATATATATGTAAGGTGTATTTGTTCTTCTGCACAAGTATAACCAACCGAGCAAGCAGAAAATTCTACTTGACCGCGGTGGGAATCGAACCCGCGACCTTCGCATTTCTAGAACGATGCTCTACCGTCTGAGCTACAAGGCCAAGTTGGGAACGACTGTGATTTTACTTAAGTTGTTATTGACAATGCGGAGTTTCGTCCTTTTACATGTCGTTATGCAGTTACTTCTGCAAATGTTGATATTTTTGTACTTTTGCTCTCAATTGAGCCATGTGTTCACTTGTGGATATATATGTAAGGTGTATTTGTTCTTCTGCACAAGTATAACCAACCGGGCAAGCAGAAAATTCTACTTGACCGCGGTGGGAATCGAACTCGCGACCTTCGCATTTCTAGAACGATGCTCTACCGTCTGAGCTACAAGGCCAAGTTGGGAACGACTGTGATTTTACTTAAGTTTTTATTGACAATGCGGAGTTTCGTCCTTTTACATGTCGTTATGCAGTTACTTCTGCAAATGTTGATATATTTGTACTTTTGCTCTCAATTGAGCCATGTGTTCACTTGTGGATATATATGTAAGGTGTATTTGTTCTTCTGCACAAGTATAACCAACCGGGCAAGCAGAAAATTCTACTTGACCGCGGTGGGAATCGAACCCGCGACCTTTGCATTTCTAGAACGATGCTCTACCGTCTGAGCTACAAGGCCAAGTTGGGAACGACTGTGATTTTACTTAAGTTGTTATTGACAATGCGGAGTTTCGTCCTTTTACATGTCGTTATGCAGTTACTTCTGCAAATGTTGATATTTTTGTACTTTTGCTCTCAATTGAGCCATGTGTTCACTTGTGGATATATATGTAAGGTGTATTTGTTCTTCTGCACAAGTATAACCAACCGGGCAAGCAGAAAATTCTACTTGACCGCGGTGGGAATCGAACCCGCGACCTTCGCATTTCTAGAACGATGCTCTACCGTCTGAGCTACAAGGCCAAGTTGGGAACGACTGTGATTTTACTTAAGTTGTTATTGACAATGCGGAGTTTCGTCCTTTTACATGTCGTTATGCAGTTACTTCTGCAAATGTTGATATTTTTGTACTTTTGCTCTCAATTGAGCCATGTGTTCACTTGTGGATATATATGTAAGGTGTATTTGTTCTTCTGCACAAGTATAACCAACCGGGCAAGCAGAAAATTACACCTTACATATATATCCAAACAAATACACCTTACATATATATCCACAAGTGAACACATGGCTCAATTGAGAGCAAAAGTACAAAAATATCAACATTTGCAGAAGTAACTGCATAACGACATGTAAAAGGACGAAACTCCGCATTGTCAATAACAACTTAAGTAAAATCACAGTCGTTCCCAACTTGGCCTTGTAGCTCAGACGGTAGAGCATCGTTCTAGAAATGCGAAGGTCGCGGGTTCGATTCCCACCGCGGTCAAGTAGAATTTTCTGCTTGCCCGGTTGGTTATACTTGTGCAGAAGAACAAATACACCTTACATATATATATATATATGCGGGCAACATAGATATATAGATAGATACCCGAAATCTAATTAGAACTGCATATGTTGTGTAATATGATTGAAATCCCAAGCAAATGTATTCATATGCAATTCTAATTAGACTTCGAGTATCTATCTATCTATCTATCTATCTATCTGCGGCCAATATATGCGGCCAAATAGGTGTATATATATATATATATATATATATATATATATATATATATATATATATATATATATATATATATATATATATATATATATATATATATATATATATATATATATATATATATATATATATATATATATATATATATACTCTGTTCAACTGATTCCACTTCACGTAAAGAATCATTACGCCAGCTGACAGATGTGTTTGTCGATAATGGGTATCCAAGGAAATTTGTCAAAGCTACGATTCGAAATACCACGAATATCAAAACTACTAGAGATGATGAAACAAAGCATATTTACTTAAAGCTCCCCTTCATAAATGAAGAATTTAAAAGGCGTGAGGGGTGAAAACAGACAGCCTTGTTGACTACCAGCTCATTTACAAAACGGAAAAAAACTCTTGTCGGTGTCGGTGATTTTTATCAAATACCGTTAAAGACTTAACCCACTATATTTTTTGGGAATAAAAGTAAAATAAAATGAGCTTTGATGGCACGCCGAAGAGGTTTTATAAATCAAGGTATTATAAATCCAGATTCTATAAACAAGATTCTATAACTTCAATTTTTACCCGGTAGTCTTTCAATTTCCGGCAAGGCTATTGATCAATTGATCTTTGGTTAGCGTTATAATGTGAGTAATTAGCCAAATTGAGAAGTTTCATGATCATAATATGTGAAAAATGATACAATAGCGACTTCATTATCGATACACTAACTACAAAGATTTGAAGTCAGCCATTTCTAACATCTCATTCTGATATACCATACAAAAGCCTGCAAGTAGCTAAGTCTGGCTAGGTATTTAATATTTTTCCTTTTTACTATACGAAAACAACTTTGTCTTATAGGAATTATAGCGCATCGAACATGCTTCGTTTTAAACTACTCGTAATCTACGTCCTGATTTCATGGATCTCATTTGTTTCTCCCGAAAAAAAGGTCAGATAAGTCTCGAAGTTCATTTTTGTATTATTTGTCAATTCAGACAATTGTCATCTCGTCATTGTTCGTTTTAAGTTGCTTCACGCACTAAACAAAGTTATTTCTCTCGAATCGTGCAAGTGAAATCAAAATGAATTTGTTGATGTCAGTAAAACAAACCTCTTGATATCACGTTTCTTAAAAAGACAATTATAAACTGGATACATCTCGTTGCAAGTGGTTATGCATTACTTCCTTTTAGGGTCGTTGTCCAACAAAAGAGCCGCTTTTAAATGATGAAGTAAGTAAAAACATGATATAATTGTAATAATTCCATGCTCTGGTCCATTCCGATCTAATTTGAAATCATCAAATATTGTTGTGATTAAATATTCCATTTTTGTCTCAGAATATAGTAGTTCCTGATAATGGAAATGTTCCAGCAGTCTCAGGAAAATTAAAATTTCAACAGGACAGTCAAAAACTTTATATACGGTTGAATAAAAAATGGAATGCCATTGCAAAAAAGGTAGTTGTAATATTTATGATTTAATACCTCGAGCACGTGCGAGCCGCCGCGCGAGGATACTAATTCCGCCCGGAGATTAGGAATTACACCCGGGTATTCTATGTCTTGACCGTTGAATGGTATTATTAGTTATGCGCATGTGCGAAATTTGCATGGGGAAAAATCCTTAATATAATAAGCAAAATTATTTATTTTTTAACAATACCTATGAGCGATGAAAGAGAGAAAGATATATAATCGATAAGCCTCCAAGTGTTATAAACAATTAAATGTCTTTGTTTATTCCGTATTTACTGTCATTAAAAGGTTCAGTTTACAGTTATAGTATAATTGAGCTTGGTATGTCGTTTTGCAAAGACATAACCGATCAACTTGAAAAGTCGGCTGCAAAACGCCAATATATTCGCTGCAAAATATTCGAAGAATAAGTACTAATATTATACTTCAAATTCAAATTGGCCAATCAAAAAACATATTTCGTGGTATCAATGATTTTTCATGGTATTGCATCCCAGTCCCCCCTATTTCCGAGCTAGACGTGTGACGTTAAATTTATCACACACGACGTCTCGCGAGGACTACACGCACTCACTGAAAATAATGATATTTTCCTCGGAAGAAGCCCTCGGAAAATATCATAATTTCGGGAAATATTTCGCCGAATCCCCCTCACTTCAGGTCTATAAAATAATTATAAATAACATCGGACACTTAGTCTGATAAATAACATCTGACATTCAGTCCTTGAAGATTTTGCACTGTTTTGATGTTTTCAAGGTTGAACACTTATGCAATTTTATTATTCGAATAACCTGAACTCAAAAATCACCTTGATTGATATGAACCAAATTCACTTTTCTCGTTTATAGCTTAACTCCGCCATTGCCAAACTTACTCAAGTCAATGCTGCCGTCGCTAAACTTACATCACGTTTGGATAAGTTGAATCAGACAGTGGAAATAAAAGGTTCTAACGACTAAATGTTATAAATGACCTTAAACACAAATGCAACAATGCTATGATGCATCCTCCAACTAAAACTCAGCAGATCTTTTTCTAATTTTGACAGCGAGGTCGAGTTGCGCTAGTTTGTATCGAACCGGAGCAAGAATCAACGGAGTCTACACAATAGATCCTGATGGTCAAGGTTCGTTTCAAGTCAGATGTGATATGAGCACAAACGGGGGTGGCTGGACCGTGTTTCAAAGAAGACAAGATGGAAGTCAAAATTTCTACCTTGGATGGTCAGACTATAAAGCAGGCTTTGGTGATTTTAACGGCGAGTTCTGGTTGGGCCTTGATAAAATACATCGTTTGTCCAAATCTGGTCAAAATGTTCTAAGAGTAGATTTGATGGATTTCGATGGCGCGGAAATTTACGCTAAATATGGAATGTTTAGTGTGGCTGATGAATCAGACAAATACAGATTGAATATTGACAGTTATTCAGGTAAATCACACTCTTCGTAAAAATAATACAGGGAACAAAAATATCAAGTACTTGTTTATAACCAAGTAAAGACTAAGCATAGGAGCTGTAATAACACCAAATTTTTGCATTGAGCATATTTTTCCATGGCTTTTGTTTCAATCATTTTCATGACCAAAATACGAGCAGGTTGTAGGTATGCATGCTGGCATAAATAACCGAGCGATTCATGAAATAAATTTCACTTATTGCATTCTATTTCATAAGATCGTGTGCAAGGTTTAACACCTTTCGTCATTAACGATGAGGAGAAACGGTGGCATGCAAATGCACTCCTATTGAAACAGGAAATTTGGCGGTTGCAGAAAAGGCAGCTATAGGTTCAGCAGCGATTGAACATGTGTTAATAGCATACCTGAGCAGATGATATTCGCGGGTATTGCAGATTTTGGAATTTTTATTGAAGTATCCTTAGGTTATGAACTTCATTTGATGAGTAAACGACGAAAATTCATAAATAAGAATGTTTTTGATATTATCTGCATTTTATATTACACGTCGGGCATGCAACAAAATGCTCAGGCTACTAAAAAAAGAATCATTATGAATGATCCGTGACTGAAAAACCTACAAGGTTTCGTCTGCGATATTTTGATCAGATCCTCAGTAAAGATATTTTTCACCCATTTCGACCTTCCATCTTAGTCTTATTTGCCTAAGATGCAGATTCGCTATTACGATTTTAGAACGAGGTCTAACAACAAAGACGGATTACTTTACAGAAATGGGCCTCATTAGATGGGCCCATCATTTTTAAATGTTATTCATTGAGAATTATTTATTATATTCTTAAAAGGTGACGCAGGTGATTCTCTTGCTGGGCACAATCAAATGCAGTTCTCTACCAAGGATAGTGACAACGATGCAACGAGTGTTAATTGTGCTAAGAGATGCAAAGGAGGTTGGTGGTACAAAGCCTGTCAGTTTTCAAACCTCAATGGCCCGTACCTGGGTGCAGGTCAGACCAATGACATCGGAATAACCTGGTACTATTGGAAAAGTTCATGGTATTCATATAAAAAGACAGAGATAAAAATTCGTCCAAGCCAGTTTTAAGATAAAGCACTTTAATTGCTGAGAACGTGGGTTTGACGATGTTTTTATTGAATCCCAAGTTTCAAATTGATTATTATGTGATTTAAGTCCGAATTAATTAATGTCGCAGTATTTTAAATGATTATTTAAATAATATTAAAGATGAGTTAGGCCTGTTTTCCACTTCAACCGTATCGTAGCGAAACGTAGCGTATCTCACTGTTTCAAAATCATTTTTTTCTGATTGAATACTCCATAAACATAGAAATACCATGACGCTACGTTACGCTACGGTTGAAGTAATTAAAGTCGCTTCTGCGCCTCGGTTCTGCTCATGACAATGAGTAGTCTACTTGTTTCAAAATTGCTCAAATTTCTTATGTTTTGTAATAAACTCTCTCTCATATTCATTTAAAAGTATAGCGAACTAAAAGTGTGACAAATATTCTGAAAGTTCTTGATATTTTAGGAAATATATACGGATTGGAAATGTAAACAAAGCGTTTGTTAACATTACGGCCAGACTGCGCCCTACCTTTAAGTGATGGTAATTAGTAAATAAATTATTGCGTGCAATAATACGTTTGGCCATTTGAACAGCAGCAGTCCATCACCGTGAACTGCCATTCACAAAGGCTTCAGAAACATCTCATATAATTTGACCACTTCCCGCATAATGTGATCAGTCAACGTAAGAGATCGGGAGTGTACGTTTTCGAAACGTCATGCAAGGTTAATCTGAATTAAGATCTCTTACAAGTCATGCAGGGCACAAAACACAGTTTGGACGCTAACTGCGTTATTTCAGAAGCTTTATATCTGGTAAGTTGAATGTCGTTGTCATATGTATTTATTCGTAATTGCGTTTGAAACTACACCATATATTACATAATACCAATGTCGTGATTTTCTTATTCAATCATAAAAATTCCGACGACATTTTGTTTCAGCAACAAAATAATATAAAACTTTATTTCTATAATATCTTTAGTTATAAGAATTAAGAGTAAATTTTAGGAATCGTGGGTATGTCGACAGGTATTGATATCATATTGGGCTAATAATGACGTGTATTTTTCAGTTTGTTTTTCATGTTCTAACATGTTCAGACCTTCTGAAGGGAAAACTCGTCTCAAAGAGAAACAAATATATTTTTATGCACAAAATCAAAATAATACCATGCCAAATTCAGTTACAGAAATGTTTCAAATCAAGGAGAACCAAGTGTAGCTATCAGTTACGCAGTAATAATGTGAACTTTTCTCTGGGAAAACCAATAACAAATTTTATGAAAAAGAATATTAGTTACTCGGCAGCATCCTTATGGAACAGCTACCGAATGAAACTAAGGAACAAAAGAGCCTTAAAAAATTCAAATCCATTCTTGACCGCAGCTGATGTCCGTCTAAGTAATTAGAATTTGTAAATAGTATGTAGGCTAATTGTAGTAAAATAGTTGTGTGATATAGTTGTTAATTAATTTAATATTTGTATTATAATTGTAAGAAGTAGTTCACAAACGGCTCCTTGAAAGCAGGAGCCTACGTGCCCTGAACGACTACCGTTTTCAAAGATTTTTAATTAAATAATAATTATAATAAAAAATCGCAATGTATATATCGGCAATAGTATAAGTACTCGAGCGTTAATTGTCATATCACATATGTATCCTAATTATCTTTCTGTTTAATATAGTTACTCGTTTATAGTTAGTTTTTTTAATTGTTATATTCTAGTTCGAACCGATATCCATTTGATTCTTAATCGATTTCTAGTCGATTCTCAATCGATCTACAGTCCGTTTTCAGTCGTATTATCTACGGACAATCGTTTCTAGTTCGACTGTGTTATCCCAAAGACGAGTTCGTGTTTGTCAGTCTTTATATACTTATTATATCGTTGATTTATATTAAATCCTTAGAACATTGTTATCAGAATCGTCTGATTGATGAATACAGGAATGGATAAATTTATGCGTGTGATAGGTGATGCTAAAAAGTTTATCGTAATCATTACGATAAAAATTGTTTGTTTTCTCTTAGCCTTGTTTCATCCTTGACCGTGTTGATATTTCAGAAACTCGTCTCATTTATCCCTCTAAATACCAAGACTGGAGTTTCTCGGCCAGTCTGTTTCGACGGAAAAGTTAGACGGGTAAATTCGGACGAGAAACGTCTGTGACCGGATTCACATTAGACGAGTTTCCCGTCTAAGACAAGTTTCCCGTCTCTAATATGAATTCGGCTAATGAATGTCGTAATTCGGCTAATGAATGTCGTAATTCCAGGGGGCCCCGGGAGGAGTGAACACAAATATGATAATTGATATTAAAATTTGAGTATTAAAATTTGAATATTAAAATTTGAATTAATGCCACTATTGCCAATTGCAAGCTTTTTATTCTGAAAATTTGCTAGCTTTTAACGCTTCCAGAAGAAAACTTAGAAAAGGGTAAGTAAATAATTATTACTTTCCATCTTTCTGCCACTATCCATCAAGGGGATGAACTGTTTAGCGTTCATTCTAGAGGAAACAATGTGCTTTTATGAGTTCATCGGCGCTTTTTACAGCCCGAAACATTTCATTGTCCGCATGGTCGTTTACAACGTTTAATGATGCCTTGATACAGGGAAACAAGATGTACTTAAGAGCTCTGAATAGTGGTCTATTAGTCCTAAACCCTTGTGTTGAATATTTGTCTATAGATAACTTACCAACAATTGTTAGTGTTAATAGAAAATTCATGTAAAAATGCATGCAGCACGATCACAAATAATAAAGGCCTTTAGCTTGACGTTTACGGCACACGCCAAACCGCTAACAAAGCAATTTGTGTGTTAACTCCACTAACTCTAAGTGTGCAGCAATATCGCTAAATTACAAACGTTTTACGTAAAACCTGTGATGTTCAACAGTAATGTAAGAAAGCAAAAGACCATTTCTGATGTATTTATAAAAGCAGCAAATTCAGCTTTGCCGTATATGTTTCACGTTCGCCGTATAAAATTTAATGCTTGAACGACTGCATATACCCTCAGCCGTTCAAGCATTAAAATTTATACGGTATTATATTACTCTAATATCAGTTAAAACCTACCCGTGGAGGTAGCTAAAAATATAAATCTACCAGGGTTGGTAGATAGCTGCATATTTGAGGCCAAACAACATCACACTAGTTCTTTGTATTCTTTGTCTTGGCCTTTTGTTTTCTTTGTTTTCTTGATAGCACTGATGACAATTTGGCCTCAAATATTTGCATATCTACCAACTCTGAAATCTACCCGGGGAGGTAGCTCAAAACATAAATCTACCCGTGGAGGTAGTTGAAAATACAAATCTACCCTTGGAGGTAGTTCAAAACATAAATCTACCCGTGGAGGTAGTTCAAAACATAAATCTACCCGTGGAGGTAGTTCAAAACATAAATCTCCCGTGGAGGTAGTTAAAAATACAAATCTACCCTTGGAGGTAGCTCAAAACATAAATCTACCCTTGGAGGTAGTTCAAAACATAAGTCTACCCGTGGAGGTAGTTGAAAATACAAATCTACCCTTGGAGGTAGTTCAAAACATAAATCTACCCGTGGAGGTAGTTGAAAATACAAATCTACCCGTGGAGGTAGTTCAAAACATAAATCTACCCGTGGAGGTAGTTGAAAATACAAATCTACCCGTGGAGGTAGCTCAAAACATAAATCTACCCGTGGAGGTAGTGAGGTAGTTGAAAATACAAATCTACCCGGGAAGGTAGCTCAAAACATATATAGTTATAGACCCATTGTTGTGGATCCCACTCTGGCACGGAATAACATAGGTCTACCCATTGTGTTGGAAGAGCAAATGGCAGACCAAAATGAAAAACTAATTTGGTTTGTAACTTATGGGAAGGAGCTTCAGGGCCTTGTAATAAGTGATCGGGAAATTTAGTTTCCTTTCTATGACATTCATACAGCACTTTTGAATATTTTCTTGAGTGATAGACATGCTATTTTGATATTAGAGGGCTATATGATAACCATATAGTAAAGCAAATGAATGATTTCTTTCTCTTTGACTCACATGCCCGAAATTCTATTGGCATGCCTGATCCTAATGGCACTGCTGTTATAAATGTGCACAGGGCCTTTTTTAACATATATACTGGGGGGGCCAAGGCCCCCCCACCCTCCATGTTGGCCCCCCCAGTTCACTATTTTGGCCCCCCAGCGAAAATCCCCTTTTTAAAAGATATTAACAAAAAATAAAGAATATTGAATAATTTAGCTCTGCGACAGTGTATTAGCACTCTTGTATTCTGTAACCCAGCCTTTGTTGAATGTAATTCGACAAATGTTATTTGTCGAGACAGTCAAGCACGAAAACGGCTTAAATAGACAAATAGATTCATCGCCTTGATAAATTTCCTAAACTTTACCGGCCACGTTTGTCGAATGTCAAGAATCAATTGACATTGAATCAAGATATTGACACACATGTTGTACCGTTGATATTACTTTTGGTAAGACGTAAGTTAACTTTGTATTTTTTGTGCGTTTTCCATATTTTTATCTCAGATACAAATACAGTTTTCAGAATAAATTTGAAGGCTCAGAATATAGGAAATGGCGTTCCTTGACTATACTGATTTCAAAAATCTCCCGGGTGCCCCCTAGCTTTCGGCCATGATCGACATTCCTACTTCTTTCCGCTAGTGGGGAAGCCCTTTTTTGCCAATGGCCCACCCACTCGAAATTTCTTAAAAAAGGCCCTGAATGTCCAATACTGACGATCGGTATCCGATTGACAAAGCAGTCTTACAGATGGTACGGATGGATCGACCGGACAATCTTGCTTACCGTCGGACAATATTTTGCCGGTTGCCCGAAAACAAATAAAGCGAGGGTTACTGCGAGGGTTACTGCGCGCGTGTTTCGCGTGGTAGTGCACGTTCAATGTGCGGCGTGTGAATGTCGAATGGTCCGATCACAAGTAGCCCGCTATTGGATTTGCTTTTAGTTAAATGTTAAATACATTCTATGCAAAACGACATGAAGTGTCACCTTCCTTCATTCACTGCTGACATATTATCGCGGGCGCCAATTCGTGCGGTGCACTGTAACCTTTATGTATAAATACAACCATGTTGCCTCGTTCTTTAGAAACCTCATTATAATTTTACATCCTAAACAAGCTTAGTACATGAATTATGAGTAAAATGAAGCTTAGAACACGAATTGTGTTACATATCAACCATGTTGCCTCGTTCTTTAAAAACCTTATCATAATTTCATATGCCAAACAATTAATTATAACATGAAACTGGATTATCATAAATTATAATACATGCCAATTGTAAAGGCAATCAAGCTCATACTGCACGAATTGTATTACATACAACCATGTTCCCTCGTTCTTTAGAAACCTCATTATAATTTTACATGCCAAACAATCTTAGTACATGAATTATAACATGAAACTGGATTATTATAAATTATAACACATGGCAATCAAGCTAAGAAAACGAATTGTATTACATACGTCCATGTTGGTTTACCTCGTTCTTTAGAAACCTTATCATAATTTTACATGCCAAGCATCATCAGGAAAAGCAATAGTCACCTCGAAAATTATACTGATAATAATATATAATATAGCTACTCATATGAGCCATTGCGCAATCTGATTAGGTAGCTTCCCGCTGCATGTATGTCAGCAAATATAGCTATAGGGTGAGTGGTGAAAACAGACAGCCTTGTTGACTATCAGCTCATTTACAAAACGGAAAAAAACTCTTCTCGCTGTTGGTGATTTTTATCAAATACCGTTCAAGACTTAACCCACTGTATTTTAAGAATAAAAGTAAAGTAAAATGAGCTTTGATGGTACGCCGAAGAGGTTTTATAACTTAAATCCAGATTCTATAAACAAGATTCTATAACTTTAATTTTTACCCAGAATTTTTCAATTTCCGAACAAGGCTATTGATCAATTGATCTTTGGTTAATAGGCGCGTTATAATGCGAGTCATTAGCCAAATTGAGAATTTTCATGTGAAAAATGTGAGATTTGTGTGAATTGTCATAGAATTTTTATGTACGTGAAAAATGATATAAAAAACTTACAAAAGCGGCGTCATTATTCTTGCACTAACTACAAAGATTTG